ATGGAATAGAATGGAATAGAAAATATGGAATGGAATGGAATAGAAAATATGGAATGGAATGGAATAGAATAGAAAATATGGAATGGAATAGAATAGAAAATATGGAATGGAATAGAATAGAAAATATGGAATGGAATGGAATGGAATGGAATAAAATAAAAAAGAAAAGAAAAGAAAAGAAAAGAAAAGAAAAGAAAAGAAAAGAAAAGAAAAGAAAAGAAAAGAAAATAGAAAACGGAATAGAATTGAATAGAAAATATGGAATGGAATAGAATAGATTAGAATAGAAAATATGGAATGGAATGGAATAGAATAGAAAATAGAATACGGAATGAAATGGAATGGGGATGGGATAGGATAGGATAGGATTGTTGGGGGCAAAATGCCGACTCTGTAACCCGCTTAAAGAGGCTGCAAGGCGCTGTGAAGCGGTATATAAGTCTAAGTGGTATTGCTATTGCAGTCTCTACATGTCTACTGATGGCTGATAGTCTGTCTATTCTCACCCCCACCAACACCGATAGAGCAAGCCGTTTTAACGGAGAGCAAACCCCACTCCCTTCTAGCACTGATGAGGTTACCTAGTTGGGTCATGAGACGTCTGCAAGAAAACCACCAAGTTCAGAGAGCACCCAGGACCCCCACAGAGCAGGGTGTACTTAAAAGACCGGCTCATACAGTCTCAAGCGCGCCCATTTTCTTCCTTAATTCAAGCTTGGCTTACCTCGAACGACTCCTTCGTGCTGAGCTCTTACCAACAGGCCTTCGGGCTGCGAGTTTTGGCTCCGGGGTGAAAATTCCTCTTGCTTGATGTAAGGCAGGGAAACTGCGAAGAAGGCAAGGAGGTGTGTTAAAGAGACACACAACCCACTCCAAACCATTTCATTCCCACATAGCCTCAGAGCATCCAAGCACACACGAGTCGGATCTTGGCTAGGGGGTCCATTTTCCAAACCACTAACGCCGACCCTGAGACTCAGGCCTGCCCTGGTGGCGCAGTGGTTAGAGGGCCGCATTGCAGGCTGACTCTGCCCACTGCCAGGAAGTTCGATCCTGACCGGCTCAAGGTTGACTCACTTTTCGTCCTTCTAAGGTCGATAAAATGAGGACCCAGATTGTTGGAGGCAAATAGGCTATAAACCGCTTAGAGGGGGCTGTAAAGCATCGTGAAGCGGTATATAAGTCTAAGTGCTATTGCTTCCTTCCTTTCCTTCTTTCTCTCCCTCCCTTTTCTCCTTCCTTTGTCATGGTGGCACAATGGTTAGAAGACAGTATTGCAGGCCCACTGCCCGGAGTTTGATCCTGACTGGCTGAAGACTGATTCAGTCTTCCATCCTTCTGAGATTGTTAAAATGAGGACCCAGATTGTTGGGGGCAAGTAGGCTGACTCTATAAACTGCTTAGAGAGGGCTGTAAAGTGCTATGAAGCAGTATATAAGTCTAAGTGTTGTTGCTTAGGAAGGAAGGAAGGAAGGAAGGAAGGAAAGAAGGAAGGAAGGAAGGAAGGAAGGAAGGAAGGAAGGAAGGAAGGAAGGAAGGAAGGAAGGAAGGAAGGAAGGAAAAGAGAGGAAGGAAGAAAGGAGGGAGGGAGGCAGAGATGAAGAAAATAGAGGGAGGGAGGGAGGGACGGAGGAAGGAAGGAAGAGGAGGGAATGAAGGAAAGGAAGGAGAGAGGGAAAATAGAGGAAGGAAGAAGGGAGGGAGAGAGGAAGAAAATGGAGGGATGGAGGGAGGGAGGGAGGAAGGAAGGAAGGAAGGAAGGAAGGAAGGAAAACGGGAAGGAAGGAAGCTGTGGCAACACAGTAGTTATAAAGCAGCATTGCAGGCTGACTCTGCCCACTGCCAGGAGTTTGATCCTGATCGGCTGAAGGCTGATTCAGCCTTCCGTCCTTCTAAGGTCGGTAAAACGAGGACCCAGATTGTTGGGGGCAAATAGGCTGACTCTATAAACTGCTTAGAGAGGGCTGTAAGTGCTATGAAGTGGTATATGTCTATTGCTTGGGAAGGAAGGAAGGATGGAAGGAAGGAAAATGGGAAGGAAGGAAGGAAGGAAGGAAGGAAAACGGGAAGGAAGGAAGCTGTGGTGACACAGTAGTTATAATGCAGCATTGCAGGCTGACTGCCCACTGCCAGGAGTTTGATCCTGACCGGCTCAAAATTGACTCAGCCTTCCGTCCTTCCGTGGTCGGTAAAATGAGGATTGTTGGGGGCAAATATGCTGACTCTATAAACTGCTTAGAGAGGGCTGTAAAGCACTATATGAAGCGGTATATAAGTCT